AACAGTCAATTGAGGAACTGGCTCATCGGGTGGCTGGTGTGAGTCTGTGCATTTAAAGTGTTTCTTCTCTGAAGCTGCTCTGCACTGCTGTATGTCATGTTAGATGCTCAGAAAATGTAGGAAATGATTACTAAGCTACTTTAGTGCTTTGTTAATGCTCGAGACATGAACAAGTACAGATCCTGCAGGGTACAGCTATGAGTTAGGTGCTAGGTGAGTATGTTATGACTTATGTGAATGTGCTGTTCCCTGTTTGACCGTAAGTATACAAACAAGCACAGGATCACAGTTATATTCAATCTCCACATAAACATACAACAAAAACGGCCATATAGCCTAACTCCGAACACACCATAGATAACTTAAGCCTTTGAAGGCACAAAAATGTTTTGATTAACAGGACAGGTTTATAATACATCCTCTGTCCTTGGGGGATCTTGCTGCCAAGTTGAGATATGATGACTGAACTTCAGGATTGATCACCCTTTTCTTAGCCACTGCTTATATACGAGAAAGACCAAATGCTTGTTTGTTTTGATTTACAGGACATGAATACAATACATCCTCTGTCCTTGGGGGATCTTGCTGCCAAGTTGAGGTACGATGACCGAACTTCAGGATTGATCAACCTTATCTTAGCCACTGCTTATAAACGAGAAAGACCAAATGCTTGTTTGTAAACTGCGTTGAAAATTTAATGATCCACCTTCAATTCTGACATGAACGCACAAATGAAATCAAAATAGTTCCCTCTCCTTTTGGAATACACAAAGCAAAATATTTAATAAATTTTAGTGGATGGACAAGAGCAATTAGCATAGCTTTCCCTCAAGTTAACTTCTGGCACTGTTGATGAATTACACTGACGCTTAGTTGTTCTATATACCCTGGACGCTTATTCGCTTCATGTTTTGTAACAAACGCGCTAAAAGTGCAATATAACAGCACTATATGCTTCTTGACAAAATGCAATAGTATTAAAAATTTAGCCCTGATGGCATTCATTCTTGGTGGAAACGTAATTACAAAATATTTTGTAGTAACTATTAAATTCCGGCCGAAAACAGTGCACGGTTTAAAAAAGAATCATTCCAATGACGGTCCATTCTTGCGGTCCTGAAATCGCCACTATTTCCGGCCTCTCCAACGCAACTCGTTGTCCAGACGTAAATATGCGAGAAGCAATTGGGCTCTCTCTATCGTCTGGATAAAAATAGGCCCCGCCCATCCCAATCAGCTGCTGTATGACGAGTTGATGACGACAACCACTACTTACCAGCAACCAATCTAGGGATAGCGTGCGTGACAGTAATGGTGCAGCGGTTGCAAAATATTACATTGTTATTCAAACGGTTTTTGCTTTTAGGGCCTTGTTGTTTAACCCATCTGTGTTTGATTGTATTGAGATATGTGATTAGTAGATGAGGTGTTGATGAAGGCAGGTATTTTGTAAAATATTTTTTTGGACAATTTTTTTGCCCTTGTTCTACTTAATAGCTGAACCCGGGGCCACCTGAAGTCTAAACCTTATTTATATAACATGTCAATGCTGATGCTGTCTTGAAATGTGAAATTTAGACAATGGTAATAGGAATAATGAATAGCAATTTCACCAACAACTTGTTAATCTCTAGGAAGTGCAATTGAAATTAAAATCACTGTCTGCCACACTGCTCCGATCCTGGTCATGCAACCAACGTTCATGGGTGGTGTTTCACGGCAGAGCACTGCAGTGCGCTGCGTGTGTCAGAGCATTGGGTTTCCATGGCAGTGTCAACAAACTTCACTGTGACGCTAAGCTATGACAGCATCCCAGAACGCTAGCACGCTGCGGTACCAGCACCAGCAGCATGCTAGCAGTATTTGAACTCAAACCTCTGTTTTTGGTACGGTTTTTCAGAACCTCTCACTCTGTTCCAAACGCGATTCATCATAAACTAAGAGATCACATGCAACGTCATTTGAGTGATGCTATGGTATGCCGTAGCTACCAGTGCACACAGTGTCTGGATGGTGAAACAGGGCCATTATTAATCACATTTGCTTTGCTTTGTTTCAGCAGAAACCTGTCTGCACATGGGAGGAGCGCAACAAAAGCCCATCAAGTTCATGCATGGCAGTGGATCTCAACAGGAGAAAACCAGAAAGAACATGGATGCTTGTAGATTGCAGTTGTACACTGCTGTTATCACCTGATGTGCGTGGCTGGCATTGCTCCTGGCAAGAACCACCTGCAAGTGATGAGATGGTGCCTCAGCCGTTGTGTGCTGCAGTGTGAGAGGCGCCCTGATCTCTACTTTGTGATGGGTTTCCATTGGAGGTTCAACTGAGAAGTGAGAACTGACTGTGACCATGCTTGAGCATGCCAGTAGAGCTTTACATGCTTAGGGCAGCTTTTGAACAGATGCTGACCATGGCATGTCCCATCCAGTTATCACGTGCACAGAATGGTGGGGGGAGGGCAACTCTGGGCTCTTGAGTCAGCCCTACTGCACAGGGGGTACAGATGGCCGCTTACGTATGGTGTGTCCTGCACTGCATTATCAAGCCCAGTCTGCTGCCACAGGCAATGGGTCGGGCTGCACTGTATTAAAGGCAGACTATCTTGCAAAGGAGGCTGGCATCCTCTCCCATAATGACACACCAATTGGCAATCATCGCTGCGATGATCACGAGGGTGTCCGCTTATCTAACATGGTGAGGTGGAGAGCCAGCTCAAGCTGGCCTGAGGGATGGTTTTACTTCATCTGAGGCCCCCTTTCCCCGCCTGCCAGGTCCGGTCAAACGACCGCTTCACAGTGAACGACTTGCAGTGGATGCCGTCCCACAGCGCAACGAGCGCGCCGACCAGAGGCGGCCGCGCTCCCCCAGTCGACGGTCCCGGTGGACGTCGGCAACGCCCACCGCGCGACCATCAGATCGGCTCGCGACCGCGCCGTCGCCGACTGACTGCATGACTGGTATCTGTTCTTGATGTGGGACCGACTGCCACCGCCGGTCGCGGAAGGGCATCGCTCATCGGCCATCGACGTTCACCAGCTTCGCGTGGGTCACTGTTCGGGCTGCCACCAATACACCGAATCGGATGGAACCCTGTCGGCGAATGCCGGCGGTGCCCCGACATCGACTGCGCGGCGGCCAGTGCATCGCGTGCCGGGAGGAGGCTGGCACCCCCGATCGGTCATTGGTCACAAACCGTGTCCCAGCTCATGACTGCATCCAGCGCAGCTCTGTGAGATGTTCTGCTGCAGTCTGCCGCGTGTGTTGAAAGAAGAATGAACATGAGAAAACCTCAAAACTTTATGCCTATTAGTATTTGACCAGTATTGGAATAAGTTTGGATTTTGAGAATTTGTGTCCCTGTGCTTGTGCCTGTGTGGAAAGGCATGCTTTACGGTGTACCATCTCAATTTGTACGGATGCTGACAGGCCACCTGGGTGCCAACGTATGTACGAATCCGCGAATACGTTGTGTTTCGTCAGTCGGTATCGTTCTGAAAATATTGACTGCAATAGGCTATATAGCGTATGACGGTTCAGCCCAGCAGTAATAACCATAGGTGGAGAATTGTGACCAGCTGGGGGTGCTCGGGCGCAGCAAATCCACCGCCGCCTAGCGGTGACCTTGACCCGCGCCGCCCGGCCGCGGCTCCAAAGCCAAGCCGGCGTGGAATTGGGAGAGGTCGAGCACCCCCAGTCCAGCACAATTCTCCACCCGTGGTAATAACTGACCATTGATTGGGCGAATTTTGTGTGGTGGTTCGCTAATACATAACCTAAAGAGTGTTTTGCCGGAATCGTTTAGTAGCAGAACTGACCGGAATATAAGTAGAATGCAACGGTTTGAATCGTTAATTTGTTGAAACGATTGTTCTCTGAGACCACTGTGTAACTTTTGACCTGAGAATCACCAATTATAACGACAACGGTGGATGCAGTAGGCACTGTAGAGTGTAGGCAACACTATATAGTTGGCACACTTACGCAAGCACACGACTTACGCAGTGGACATCTGCATCATGCATGTTAAGGTTTACTGGGAAGAGTGAGAAATTAGTCAGAATATAACTGACTAAGGAAAATAGGCGATATTTCCAATTGAGCTGGGGCGGAGAGGGCCGAGGGGGAGGGGACGTATGGTCAGCTATGCCAATAATTCATTCTCGTTATGCAGCTGTGTAAAAGGGCGTCCGTTTTTTGGGGTGAGACCTTCCCCATTGGCCATTTCCAAGCTAAATCGTGGTGGAGAGTCTGGAGACCTCAGCATCCTGCCTCGGTAGTCGGTACCCTGCTCGCTGCGCCACCTTGCGAAACATAAAGCAGCAGTCCTGACATCTGCAGGCGTTACTTTTCATGAAAACGCGGATGTGTTCGCGCTTATGCGAAGAAAATTCTTCCGAGTATGGTTGATAATGAGATTGATTGTTGTCATTTATTTATTAATTCATTGGCAAAAGTACCCTAATAAATCGGTAAAGTAGCTTAAACTGTATCGTATTTCCTTGGGAAAAAATGACGAACTCATCCTAAGACATCCAGATTATTGGATGCGTTCGTCAGTTGTAAGTAGCTCAAGTTTTTGGAAAAATTTGCTTGTGGAAAATCATAATATTTCAAAGATATGCCTATTTTCGAAAAATTGATGCATTTATCTGCATTGAAAAATGATTGTAAAGCAAAAGTGCAAAAGATTTTTGTCAATTTATTTTCTCAAATCACGATTTACGAACGCACAAAACTCCAGCTTTTAATTTAGTGCGTGTGCGAATTGCGGTCAAGAAAAAAAATTAAACTGTCTATATTCCTAATGAAGGATGAATGAGGAAAACGCTGTTTTAAACAATTGTATATTTATTTTTTCTCAATTAAGCAAAAGTACAAAATTTTCAACTATTATTACATTTGCTCTCACAAAACCCATCACTTTTAAGCATGACGTCATGTCAGCCAAATTTACTAGCGCCATCTCTGGAGAGCATCTTTCGAAACCTCCAGACGATAGCGAGAGCCAGCAATTGTTTTGCTTGGAAATCAATCAAAAACTAAAATAAGAAAAGTAGCTCCAATAGACGGCGCAAATCATAGTTGCGCCGTCTATTGGAGTTGTTGTTGAAATCATCGTCAGAGTCAGAGAAATCATCGTCATAGTTGTTGAAATAGCTCAACAAATCACAAAAAATAGCAAATAATAGAAGCCAATTTAAGGTGAAGGTTGAGGCATAATTGAGCTGTTTTTTATCATACCATACTGATACCTTATCAATTTAATTTATCATGCCTATACCTTTTGTCTTGTCTCAAATTGTACTTCACTAGTACTTTCAGGTTTCAGTATTGATATTTTCAGCGTATATTTAGTGAACTTTTTTTGTATTATACTTTATTGTTTTCCTCAATACTTAAGCTTTGTTTTAGATATTACAGTAACAAGTTCTTTTAAATATGCTTTCGCCCCAAAAATTATAAACGTGTCTTATAGATTGGTCTGTCTGAATCCCCACCCCTCATTTATCTGTCTGGTCTTATCAAGCTCTGTGGAGATACCTATTTCTATCTCAATTACCGGTGGGTAAAGAACGTGCTGCTGGCTTGAGACATAGGTATTACAAAAGTTTATGTTTGCATTCCTAAGTAGGCAATAGGTATACCACCTAGGTACCTACTTTGACTTTGACTTGCTTTATTGGTCTGTAACAGTAAATATATTTTATCTTTAATAACATATTGCTATTGCTTATTGGTAAGATAACTTGCAAAATAGTGTCACCCTGTTGGTTGGCTGCCTTCTTACTCGTAATTGTCATTTCTTTAATTACAGCTATGATTTCTGTGAGGCACAGGGCTAGTCAACTTCTAAGAACATCACTGCTGGGTAGCTCACAGAAAATGGTGAGTGAGCTTCATTAAGCTGAATATATGACATTTCAACCACACTAACACCTATATTTTCCTTGGCAAATCAGTTTTAGTTTCTTAGTTAGTTTTTACTTATTCAATGTCAAGCTTTTTAGGCACTTGTAGTTGCTGCCTTGATAAAAAGGCATCAATTACTAGTGCTTAGAAAAGGGTTTTGATGCTAGGTGGGTGCTGAACAATGCTTAATGAGGTAATGCATTAATAACTGCACAATTACATGTTTATTTGGCATTGAACATCAGAAGTCAGTGCCTAATCAGGTCTGCTTCATGCATTTCCATTTAAATAGATTGGACTCAATGGGTACTAGTGCTGGAAAGTGGAAATAGGACAGGCTGCTCAAACTGGTAAGCTGCCTGCTTAGATGCACTTCTGTTGTGTCTGTCTGTGCTGTCCTTTGTAGATTTAATTTTGTGTGTCTCCACTCCAGGCCCTGTCAAGCTCTGCCCAACTGAGCTCAGACCAGGACGGGTCTGCCATGCCCCAGGCCCAGCACTTCCCAGCACTGAAGACTCCCATGCTGCCACCAGACACCTTCAAGGGCAAGGTTAGTGATTCTCACATGGGAAGGTGGCTGAGGAACGCATCGCAAATGACACTGACACAGGCAATACAAGCTTACAGTATGGTCTGTGGTGGAAACTGCACTGAATGTATATAAGCCTGACTGCTGTAGGGTGGCTGGCTGGCTGCTGTGGGGTGCAGCCAGAACTAGGAGTGCACAATGACAACCCAGCCAGCACAAGCCTGGCTGCTACTTGTCTCCTCGTGTAGCTTCTCTTGGGTTTGATACTGTCTGTGACCTGCCCACTGGGTGCATACCGTTAGGGCAATGGATTGACTGCCCAAGTCGCCAACCACAAGAAATTACGATACATGTGCACTGCTTTCAGGTAGGCATTTGAGTGTCTCCGCTCAATTCAGTCACTCGTAGACGTCACGTCACATGTATGATCCCACCGGCGCCAACCACTGTGCTCCATATCCCACTAGCACATTGTCACTCAGGCCCCCATTGTAACCCCCAGCGCCCCCTACCTACCCATGGTGTCGGCTAGAGGGCACGATTGGCGGCGGCGGCTACTGAATCTCGTGTATCACTGGCAATGGTTGGCGACTTCGGGGCAGGTGCAGCGCCTGTCTCGGTGGCCGTAACTTATGGCGTGACCTCTCATTCGCCGGGTCCTTTGTCGTGACCTCTCGTGCTCCCTGACCTCTGGAGTGACTCGTTCGTGCCCCGACAGGTGGCGTTTGTGTCCGGCGGCGGTACCGGCCTCGGGAAGAGTATGACCACGATGCTGAGCCAGCTGGGCGCAAGCGTGTGCATCATGAGTCGGTGAGTAACGGGTCTGAGGAGTCGGGTAACGAGTCATGAGTCGGTGCGTGAGAGTCTGAATTCTGAGTAATAGCATCAGCATCTTGACACCCACCTCGTACCTCTCTTCTCCTTCCCGTCAGTCGAGAGTACCTTTCCCATTGACTGTTGCACCGTTCCATGCTTCTATCCTCAGGATACGGAAATCCTTCTCCTCCACGCCGCAACCCCCCTCCGGGCTGGACAGGCAACTTTATCTCATGCGGGCTGCTCCCTTGGAGCGGCACCGCTGCTCCCGAGGGAGCGCACCCCGTAGCCGGGTGCAGTGAGTACTTTGGGGCTGGTTGGCCTGTCCTTCGGGATGGGCTCAGCCCCGGTGACTCACTAGGGTGCCTGCCCAGACCAATGTCTCCCCCTAATTCCTATCATCCTTCCGGCTCTGAAATGGTCTAATTGGACCGAAAGGGCCTAACCCCCCCCCCCCCCCCCAAAAAAAAAAAAAAACATTGACTGGCACTCCCCTTTCTCCCTGATTGCCATCATCAGATTCAGATAGTACCCCGCTACCCGCCTCTGACCCTCCCCTCCAGGTGCCAGATAGTGCTCCTCTTCTCCTCTGCTCTCTCCTCTGACCGTCCCCTCTCCGCCCAGCCGTCAGATAGTGCCCCTCCCCTCCTCTGCCCTCCCCTCCGTCGTCTGACCCCCCCCCCCTCCCCGCTCAGTCGTCAGAAGGTTCTGGACGACACGGCGGCGGAGGTGAGCGCGCTCACCGGTAACCGAGTGCTCCCCGTGTCGGCCGACGTGAGGGACCCGGCCGCCGTCACAGCCGCCGTCGACGCCTGCGCCGATCAGCTGGGGCTGCCCGACATTCTCATCAACAACGCCGCCGGAAACTTCATATCGCCAACAGAACGGTGAGGGACGGGGAGGGGCACTTCAGCTTGGCATGGCAAAGCCTTGCGGGTCAGACAGAAGCTTTGGAGTGGGCTCGTCCTTGCTAAAGCAGCTGAGAGGGATTACTTCTCTGTGTTTTGGGTAACCTCAAAGTAGAAAACAACGTGGTTTATGTGCCCGAAATTCGATGGTTATGTGTTATTTTGTTTCGGGACTGACACTTTGTTGATAAATGGAAAACGCTTTATCGCCAAGCAGGCACTCAGTTTTGTTTTCATAGCGTGTTTGCGCCTGTGACATTCACTTGGTTATTAGTTTGTTGTTTTTGCTTCCTCGTCTGCCAGTCTGACCTCCAATATCAACCTCCACCCCTGACAGCCTTTCTGCGGACGACCTGACCTCTAACCCTCCACCGCCGGCAGCCTGTCGGCCAACGCCTGGCGGACCATCGTCGACATCGTGCTGAACGGCACCGCCTTCCTGACGATGGACGTTGGGAAGCGCTGGATCGCCGCAGGACGCGGCGGCGTCATGCTGAACATCACCACCACCTACACCCGCACGGGATCCGGCTTCGTGGCGCCCAGCTGCTCGGCAAAGGCCGGCGTCGAGGCGCTCACACAGTGGGTACTGGGTGGGGCGGTGAGGGACTGCGGGAGGGGTATGGGTAGACGATGAGCATTGACTGCTTTCTGCGTGATCTTGTGGAATTCACGTCAAGCTCTACGTTCTTCTCTTGAAAATTGTCCATATGAGTGAAACAATTCATTGTTGTGGCTTCACATTTTATGGAACACATGATATTACAGGAGGAGGCTTTTTGTCTTTGTCTATTACATATTTCCCGCTGTCAAGTGTCAACACAGTTGTTACGTTTCATGTGTCCAAATTGCTACACAGCAAAAGTCGCCTATATTTAATAGATGTGAGGCACTTTTCCATAATGTTCGTCACTGAACCGTCACTATCCTGTAGTAAAGTGGGTCTGAGAGGCCATCACCCTTTCACAATATATCGCTGTGTATAACTGAACCCTCCCCCTGACAGGACTTTGGCAGCTGAGTGGGGACGATACGGTATCCGGATCAACTGTATCGCGCCGGGCCCGATCGAGACCGAGGGCGCCTTCTCCCGACTGGACCCGAGCGGACAGTGAGTGAGGCGGGCTGGGTCGGATACTCGTACACACGGGGCACCGAGAGTTCACACGTAGTGTTTGGAAAAACGACGTGCACATTCACGGTGTAGATGGGTTATGTCAAACGGTGGTCGTTGGCGAGATGCCAACTATCTGTGGTTTTGCATGTGGATGCAGGATTTTGCAGTGCGTCTTGGTTTTACCGGTCTTGTTCAATGTTCACGATGTACCGATTTACCGATAGCCATGCACCCGTTCCCAAATTTCGATTTCCATTGTCGTTTTTGCACTGTGTTTTGCAGACTATGGGCTTACCACCACGCCCACGTTCAAGTTTCACCACATCCTGCCTGAGTCCCCCCCCCCCCCCCCATCTCTTTTAACCCCTCCTCCCCATCCAGCCGGTCTAGTCATTGCGGCTGCTCTCGATACCTCCTCCGTTCCGTCGTTTCTATCCTCAGGATACTCAAATCCTCCTCCACGCCTCCACCCCCTGCTCCGGGCTGGACGGGCAACTTTATCCCATACGGATAGCTTCACCCCAGGAGCAGGCCCGTAGCCGGGCGCGGTGACCATTAGGGTGCTGGGTGGCCTGTCCACTGGGTGGGCTCAGTCCCGACGGCTCACCAGGACGCCCGCCTAGACCAATGTCTGCCCCTAATTCCTATCATCCTTTCGGATCTGAAATGGTCTACTCTAGTTAGACCGGAAGAGCCTGACCCTCCCCCAAAAAAAAAACGATGCCTCTCATACCGTCGCTCTTCGTACTACAGGCTCCGTAATGTGGGTGTGAAGGCCATCCTGGCGGACTGTGCTACTGTCCCTGCTCCTTGACGCCCTCCCCCCTCGACCGTCGCTCTCCGTACTGCAGGCTCCGTAAAGTCGGTATGAAGGCGGCTCCCGGCGGGCTGGAGAGCCTGTCTGTGTTACTGTCCCTCTCTTTACACCCCACACTTACTGTCCCGTTATGCGGCGAGTTCCGCAGGTCGGTATGAATGCCATCCCGGCAGGGTGCTACTGTCCCTGCTCCCCATACCCCCTCTGACCGTCTCGCTTCGTGCCCCAGGTTCCGTAAGGTCGGTATGAAAGCGATCCCGGCGGGCCGTTTCGGCGAGCCCGAGGAGCTCACCAACCTGGCCACCTTTCTGGTCAGCGACTACTCCAACTGGATCAGCGGAGAGGTAAGAAGGGAGGAAGGGAGGTGAGAAGGGTGGAGGGGAGGTAAGAAGGGTGGAGTGGAGGTTAGAAGAGAGGAGAGGGGTTGTGAAGGAAGGAGGGAAGGTGAGAAGGGAGGAGCAAGTCGAGACAGGCAACCACGCTTGTCGGCAGTCGTGCCAGTCGGGTCATTTGTGCTTATCAACCGCGCAGTTACGTGCTGTATTAGCCGTCCTTCGCTCTATGTCAATTACATGGCAGTTCTGTGAACACTTAAAAACCCTGTGTGTTTCTGTGATGACTTTTTCGCGTCTGACGATGTTCTGATAGAGTATGACACGGACTTTGTTTCGGGATCACTTGACCCTTGTATTCACCTGCGGCGCTATGACCCCGCTCAACCCGTTACCCAGACCCCCTCGGCCAGTGTTCTGGCCTTTCCAATGCCCAGATCAGAATCGGGCTCAGCATCGGCACCATACTTGGCAAAAAAAAAAACACCTCGCATAACCCGAGCCCCCCCCCCCCCCAGACGACAGCAATGTGAAATCTGCCCCTGCCCCGCACTGACAACTCCACCCCTCCCCCTGCGTTTTCAGAGCGTGGCCATTGACGGCGGCGGCCTGCCGTTCCGCGGCGGAGAGTTCAACCAGCTGGTGCGCGTGACGCCCGAACAGTGGGACATGATGGAGCAGATGATCCGCGCCACCAACAAAAAGTCCAAACTGTGAGGCCGGCGGCTCCACCGGGGGTCAAATCCCAGGTCAGCCCAATGTTCCCCTTTGGCAAATGCTGCTGTGTGGTCGTAACAGTCAGGGAGGCGGAAATGTCAGCAGTCAGCGCTGGCAGACATAGACAGCGCGAGCACAGAGGGAAATACGACAGGAATATCAATGCAATGTGGTGAGTGGTGTGATGTGGAGGTTTATCACGCGGTTTGGTGTGGATCGACGGCGTAGATTAGGGGTCTTAGGGGAGTGAAAGTGGAGAATGCCGAGATGCAAATGAAGATATTGAGTGATACAACAATGTGCTAATCGTGGTGCTCCTATTTGACGAATACCCGTGCGTTTTGGTACTGCGCAGGTCGCGTATTACATTGAATAAAACGTTTATACCTGCGTACTTGGGAAGCGCGACACTATCATCTGACGGCAAGTTTCGTGCTGTTTTGATCAACACTTACACTATACAGTCTTTGAGTAGTGTCAACAAATAATACATCGACCATGAACTACCCGGTGTTCCTTCGCTCCAGAAGTCAACGACACTATTTGGGCTCTGCGCACAACGAGTTGTATCGCAGCTTAGGAAGATTCATCCTTTTGATTCCGGGTTCAAATCTCCCCAAAGCTCAATTCTTCCCTCGGTTCAGAGTTTTAAAAGGCTGGAATCCCCACCAGTGGAGGTGACCACTTGAACCCAGTAACAGAGATCCGCCGACTTTCTACCACCAGTCGCTGCACCACCATCAAACACAACTCTACAAGGTACAACATGTCTTGGCTGAACAACTGACACATCTCACAGACACCTACACAAACACGCATACAAAACAGCACAGCACTGAGGCCGACCGTACAAAACACCGCGACAACAGATACACGGGAGCTGCTCTGTCGGTCAGCCCGTCTCGCAAACTCGGCTCGGAGCGAAACAGTGGCACTAAGAACGGGCGGGCGTCACTGAGAAATACGATTGAGAGCGCCGGCATAACGCAGGGTCCGGTGAAGCGCAGCGCAAGGCCTCACGTGCCTCAAGACCCCCGCTGGGAGATGCATGTTGAGTGACGTGTATATGTACTAAAGAACAAACATGAGATACTGACCTGGGATTCAGAGTTACAACTGTGCCATGGCGAGCGGGTATAACTAGCTACCACGGCGGCGCATCGGCTCACCAAGAAACGCCGATTGCATCCGGTCAGCGGTAAGACGACTTATACCTCTGGGTACAGAGACATGATATTTACAGACACACTTCCACACCGACCAACCCCGAGTCTCAGCGAACTTGTGGCCACAGCGAAACCACAGCGAACTTGTATCCACAGCGAGACCCGGTGGCCCGACACTACAATGTGATATCCAACGCTCCCTCAGCCATCCCATTTCCAAACGTCCATACACAATTCTTGAGTTATTGCCTCAGCAAAGGTGCTAATAGGTCTAATGCAAAAAGGTCGTCAAAGCGTACTGCCGTGGAAAAGGCACATCTTTGATAGCGCAAAACGTAGCAAACTTTGCATACTAAATCGCAACAACGGAACGAATGCAGTAACAAAAAGCGATGGGCCCGAAAACTGTGCTGAAACGAACAGTATTTGCGAGCCTCATAATATGGCACGTGCACTTAAGTCTGAGCTCCGATAGTCAACTCCGCGGCCTGTGCGCTTCGACCCTGTGCACCGGATCTGGAACAGTGCGCTCCCACACCGGTCCCCACAGCCACTCACTAAACTCACTGGTAGAGCGAGTGAGAACTCACTTGGCAGTCTGCTGGCTCACTGTCGCAGTGAGAACGCCTCTCCCAGATGGAAGAACGCCACGGGCCGCGGGCTGGGCCCCATCTTGGTGATACCCTGCACGCTGACCACTGGCAGGCCGAGCTGGCCGCGGTTCTCGCCCAGTTTGGAGACCGGCAGGAAGCCACACACACCCAGCGCGTCCAGCCGCGCAGAGTTCGCCACACTGAGGTCAAACACGGGCACCACCAGCTGAGCGGGCGCGCCGGGCCGCGCGCCGGCCGCCCCGCCGCCGCGCCGCCTCTGGTTCAGCGGCGGCCGCACAGGCGACGGGTGACGCGGCCGCGGCTGGGGCGCCGGCGGCGGGGGCGGGGGCAGCTTGTGGCCCTGTGACACGTGAGCAGTGGCCTCGTGCTGGTTGCGCGCCGCCGCTGAGGTGTACTGCCGCCGACAGTAGCGGCAGAGGAACGAGCCGGGCGGCGAGGGCACGGCGAACTGACCCCTGCCGACGCCGGCCGGACCGGCGGCGGTCGGGCTGACGCCGCGGCCCGTGCCCACGGCCGTGTACTGGCCGACGCCCTGAGGAGCGGCCATCCGCGGCCGTTTGGCCGGCGGTGCCATGGGTGCGCGGAGCGCGCCGGCCGGCTGCGGCTGCCGCGGCCGCGGCGCCTGCCACTGTCCTCCGCCGTGCACGGTGTTCAGGTGATGCTGCAGCTCAGCCGCCGTGGTCGGCCAGAAGGAGCATATCCGACAGGGCAGCGGCCGGCCGTGGTAGACTGCCGCGTGCTGCTGCGCGGCGGCCGCGTCCGGCAGGGGTACTCCACACTGCTGGCAGACGGCTGAGGTCCCGGCCGCCGGCGGCAGCGGCTGGCCCGTCCCCGCTGCCGGCGGCTTGGGTCCGAAGCTGGCCGGCCGCGGCGCCTCCGGACTGACGGCCGCCGGGTGCGCGGCCAGCGGTGTGACCATGGCGGCGGCCGGCGGGCGGGACGCCTCGATCGGGATCAGGTGCGGCAGCAGGGTGGACGGCGACCGCACCGAGCCGCCCTCCGGCTGGCCGGGGCTGACGGACGGCACGGCTCCGGCGGCGCCGTTCCGCCGGATCACTGACGTCGGTGTGCCGCCTCCCTCCTGCTGCGTCCCCGCTGCCGCCGAGGTCGGCGGCGGGGCCCAGCGGCCGTCGGCAGCCGCCTGCGCCGGCGGGCGGCCGAGCATTGGAGAACCGGGCTGTGGCGCTGGCGGCCGCTCGGAGCCCGGTGCCGCCTGGGAAGACGGCAGGGGAGAGGACTGAGTGGCCGGCTGAGCGACCGGAGGCGGGTGGGGCGGGGGAACAGAACTGCCGGGCTGTGGAACAGAATATGGATGGGGCGGCGGGTGGGGAGAGGACTGAGGAACAGGGGACTGAAAATGAGACGCAGGACTGGCTAGCTGCGGGGCAGGAGACTGCGGATGGGGCGACGGATGGCTGGAGTACTGCGGGCCAGGGGATGGCGGTAAAGGAGAGGGTTGACCAGCGGGCTGTGAGGCGGGGGCGGGAGCGTGAGACGGGTGCTGACCGGACTGGTTGAAGGACTGGGCAGCAGCGGACACCGGCTGAGGCTGAGGAGGTTGGACAGGTGGTTGGCCGTATCCAGGCTGCGCACCGGGATTATACTGGGAGCTAGTGGAAGAAGGGAATGACGCCTGAGTGGGATAAGGGCCAATCGAAGAAGGTGGAGTGTTGGTGTGTGAGTAGGTCGAGGGTTGGCTGGGTGACGGATGCGTATACTGATAAGAGGAGGTGGTCTGAGGCGCCGCCTGAGGCGCCGTGGAGTGGTAGGCTGACACGGGGGGCGCGACACTGGTCTGAAAACTCGGCTGAGAGTGGAAAGCCGCCCCCGCACTCCCTTGTGCACTGTGGGGAGGAAACGTCTGGGCGTTTCCCTGAACACTGTGAGTGGGGTATGACGGTACGCCTCCTTGGGCACTCTGCGTAGGGTTCGCCCAGACGTTTCCTTGGGGGTTTTGCGGAGGATACGTCGGTGTGTTTCCCCGGAAGTTGTTGGGAGGGGCCGGAGGCGCGTTGCCCTGTCTGCTGTAAGGAGGACAGGCTGGTGCGTTACGCTGCCCCCTCTGGGTAGGATAAGGGACGGTGCTGGCGGGGCCGCCCGGCGGGTGTGGGTACACAGTGCCCGGCTGAACCCCTCTAGGACTGCGCGGTGGGGTAGCCGTCCCGCTGGTCACCTGGGCTCGATGCGGGCTCTGCGGTGGCGGCGCTGGGCTGCCTGATGTCCCCGGCTGCCCGCCAGGCTGGGCGGCGACCTGCTGCGCCCCGCTCCAGCCGTCCGGCGCTGCGACCAGCGGCTGCTGCAGCGTCCTCTTCCGAGGCGTCCTCGCCCCGCGGCCCCTGCCCGCGGCGCTTTGTCCCCGTCCTCTGCCGCTCTGTCCTCTGCCCCGACCGCCGCCGGTCGGGGTCTCGGCGCCGGTCGGACCCCCGCCGACCTCCTCCACCTGTACCGCGCCGTCTCCGGTCGTCTGCACACTGACCGTGTCACCGTCAGTCACCGCTCCGTCCGTCAGCGGCCCACCACCTCCCTCCGCGGCGCCCCGACCCCTACCGCGGCCCCTACCGCGACCCCGGCCCCGGCCGCGCCCGCCACTCCGCTCTCTCTTCCTCTCAGGGTCAGCGGGCGGACGGTCCGCGCGCGGCGTGGCGGACCGCGCGCTGCGCTTGCGACTCCGTTTGGGCTTTGGCCATGGCTCGTCGTCGTCGTCGTCGTCGTTGTCGCCACTGAGCGCGTCCGTCCAGAGGTCGGCGGCCGCGTGCTGCCAGGCGCTCCACTCCTCGGGAGCGCCGGCGGCGACGCCGTCGAGGTCGGCCGACGACGGGTGCACCACCTGGCGGGCGTGATCAGAAACAGCGGCGTCAGGGAGGGCAACTGCGGCGGGAACTACAGTAGCTACAGTAACTAACTACTGTAGTTGGGGCGGTGGTGCTTAGCGCCAACTTAGCGCGATGTGGGCCAAACAACGAAGTCGAGAAAGAGATAACAGAATTTAACAGCGATAATAAATGCACGCTGTCGTGATACAAGGTAACGCTACAACGCAATGCACTATCTCGAATTTAACAACCACTATTGCCATGACCAAAAGACTGGGACGGGCCACCAGGGCGGCGCTGGCGGCGGCGCGGCATTGCGGACATGTGCGTGTAAATATCGAATCGTAACGGTGAAACAATAAATGCAAAATTAGGGTAACCTTTGGGCAGAATGATTCATGATCAACACGGCAAGCAAATGGCGCTGTTGCGACACTCCACGTCGAGGTCATTAAAACACATTTCGGTTATAAACCAGTACAATACTTACACATTTCTGTCAAGCAGCCACGGCATTCAAGGAAGTTGAAATGATTAGTACGAACATACAGTAACAACCCATGACGTCACCATCCCCCAAAACACGCATTTACCATCCACCCTGAGAAAGCCCCATTCAAACTGAAGTAGGGACGCACGCCACAGCTGCGGTTCCGCATCGCTCCGATGATGGGCAAAGCCACAGAATAAGGATGATTTTAATATACACTTTAAACTCTGCAGTGCACGACCTCCCGCCAGTGCAGATGCGCGCACACAGCGCAACTGCACACAGAGGCCATAGGGCGAGGCAGGCGA